AGCCCACGGGTTCGAGACCAGCCTGGGCAACTTGATGAGACCTCATCTCTACAATAAATTAAAAAATTAGCTGGGCATGGTGGTGCATGCTTGTAGTCCCAGCTACTTGAAAGGCTGAGGTGAAAGGATTGCCTTAGCCTAGCTGATTGAGGCTGTGGTGGCCATGAGCGTGCCACTGCACTCCAACCTGGGCAACAGAGTGAAACTTCAACTCTTTTAGTAAAGAAGCCATGTACTATGAAAGTGACTTTCTCATTAGCATTGTCTTTTGGTCTTTAGTTCAACTCTCTGAACCAGGATGGGGTAAAGTAGTGCCAGAGGAAGAGGCTGGTGTATCTAAACAACACTGTCACAGTGTAGGCTGCAGTGAGGGGCTGGTGTATCTAAATAACCATCACAACATGGGCTGCAGTGAGTTCATTCTCATTACTTCTTTCTTCTGCTTCCCAGATGTTTAGCACTGTGTTCAGTGGTCGATACATCATTCTCTTGATGGGTGTGTTCTCCATGTACACTGGCCTCATCTACAACGATTGCTTTTCCAAGTCTCTTAATATCTTTGGGTCATCCTGGAGTGTACGACCGATGTTTACTTATAATTGGACGTAAGTCAGATTGGAATACATGAAAGCTTATTCCTTTCATGTTCAGCCCTGATGTTTAAGACAAGTGGTAAACAGGCACTTCTTTAGGAAGTAGTTAACAGTGTCTCTGTTTGAGTAGAATGCAGTATCTCCGCTTATTTATGCTATAACCTAAGAACTGCTTTTTTTGAGTTGGAGTCTCACTCTGTCACCCAGACTGGAATGCAGTGGCCGCTCCCAGCCACCGCAGCCTCAACCTGGTAGGCTCCGGTGATCTTTCCACCTCAGCCTTCCAAGTAGCTGGAACTACAGGTGCGCGCTACCACACCCAGCTAACTTTTTATTTATTGTAGAGATGAGGTCTTGCCAAGTTGCCCAGGTGGGTCATGAACCCGCGGGCTCAGGCAATCCACTCACCTCAGCCTCCCAAAGCACGGGATTACAGGCTGAGCCATCGAGCCCATCTTATGAACTGCTTTGTAATTTACTCAGCAAGTATCAAGGAACTGAGACTATAAGTTAAGCACGTTATTTTCATAAATTTAAAGCAGAGCCCAGCACTTTGGGAAGCCAAGGCAAGAGGACTGCCTGAGCCCAGGGGTTCAAGTATCAAGGAACTGAGACTATAAGTGTTCAAGACCAGCCTGGGCAACATGGTGAGACCTAATTTCTACAATAAATCAAAAAATTAGCCGAACATGGTGACATGTGCCTGTAGTTCCAGGTACTTGGAAGGCTGAGGCAGAAGGACAGACGGATCACCTGAGCCCAGCAGGTTGAGACTGTGGTGGCTGTGAGCTTGCCACTACACTCCAGCCTGGGTGACAGAGTGAGACTTTGACTCAAAAAAAAAAAAAATTTAAAGCAGAGCCCCCAATTCCTTTCTTGGTTATACATGTGTGTTTAATTCTTCTTTTTGTCATCTCTGATCCCTCATTCTCAGCTAGCAGTCCTCCTTCTTCCCCCCTCTTTTATTAAAGAGACAAGACAGCTTTAGTAATTTCTTTGGGGGTTGGTTTCTGGACCCCGTTGCTCCCCTCTCCTGATCAAAAATCAACATGACTTTTCTCCTATCATGATAGGGAGGAAACGCTTCGAGGGAACCCTGTCCTCCAGCTGAACCCAGCACTCCCTGGCGTGTTTGGTGGACCCTACCCTTTTGGCATCGATCCAGTAAGAAAACTTCTTTCCTGCATGCTAACCTCACATTTTAACTGTGACTCTGAAATGAGAGAATTAAAGTGAAATCGTTATTTGGCTTTTAGTTGCCATATTTCTGACCAACCCTGATGCATCTGCTCAGAGTATTTCAAAACCAATAAGGGACCCAAGTGCCTTGAGGAGTCACATATTTTTGCCTGCACTGCTTATTGCTACAGTGGCTAAGACCTTGACTCTGGGAAGACTGGTTTTCAAGATTGCTTCCCAGTTCTTAATTTTTTCTGCTTAACTTAGCTTGGCTTTTTATTTTTAGCAGATATTTTAACAAGGCAGAAATATCTTTCCTAAGAGTTTTAAACTTCCATTCTTATCGTTACATACTTATGAAACATCCCAGAATTTATTTTTTTCAAATACTTAGGCAATTTAAGTATAATCAAGTGTTTTTTTTGTATTCTAAGAAAATTTTTTTTTAACAAGGAGTTAGGGCAAGAATTTAATAAGCATGAGATTGTAAAGACTGCAAAATTCCGGGGTAAGGGGGTATATTATGGGCAGGAAAGATTAAAGTTTCTTGTAGAAGTGGCAATTAGACCAGTTGCAATTGCTCACGCCTGTAATCCCAGGACTTTAGGAGGCCAAGGCAGGCAGATCACTTGAATTTGGGAGGTTGAGACCAGCCTAGGCAACATGAGACCTCATCTCTACAAAAATATTTAAAAATTAACTTGGTTTGGTGGTGCACACCTGTAGTCCCAGCTGCTCTGGAAGCTGAGGCAAAAGGATTGCCAGAACCCAAGTGGTCAATACTGCAGTGAGCCATGATTGTGCCACTGCACTTCAGCCTGGGCAATAGTGTGAGGCCCCAACTAAAAAAAACAAAATTTTGTGTTGAGGAGTGCATGGCAGTATGATGAAACAAGATTAGAATGAGTCCATAGTGGGCCCAGCTCGGTGACTCAGCTTGTAATCCCAGTGCTTTGGGAGGCCGAGGTGAGTGGATCGCCTGAGCCCGCAGGTTCAAGACCCACCTGGGCAACTTGGTGAGACCTCATCTCTACAATAAATCAAAAAATTAGCTGGTCGTGGTAGCATGTGCCTGTAGTTCCAGCTACTTGGAAGACTGAGGTGGAAGGATCGCCAGAGCCCAGCAGGTCGAGGTTGCGGTGGCCAGGAGGGTGCTGCTGCACTCCAGTCTGGGCGACAGAGTGAGACTCCAACTTAAAAAAAAAAAAAGAAGAATGAATCTATAGTGGCTAGTAATTGTTGAAGCTTGGTGAGAGATATGTGGGTGTTTGTTATACTAGCTCTCTACTTAAGCATATGTTTAGAATTCTCCATGATTAATAATAATAAATAAAGATAACTTTTTTAGGCAGATGAATGACATTTTCCATTTGAGACTTCCTTTTAATACCTTTTTGTTTTCTTGGGTTGTGACAGATTTGGAACATTGCAACCAATAAACTAACCTTCCTCAACTCCTTCAAGATGAAGATGTCTGTCATCCTTGGTATCATCCACATGATGTTCGGCGTCAGCCTGAGTCTGTTCAACCACATGTGAGTTGTTCTGTTCCTGTCACAAGAATGTGTATGGTTTAGATAATGCTTTTGCCTGAGGAAATCATAACATCTTCAGGAGGGATTGATAACTCAGACCCCATTCCATGTTATACAGGGGATTTCGTAAAAATCCCATGATGTTAAGTGAGGCTTGATATTAGCCCCTTAACAATTTACAGTTGCAGTAAAGATCTTTGAAAAAAAAAAACTAGAGCAGTTTTCATCAAAATGAGTAAGTTCTTTTTCTTCCTTGATATAAGTTATGAACTGTGGGCCGGGCTCGGTGACTCAGCCTGTAATCTCAGCACTTTGGGAGGCTGAGGTGAGTGGATTGCCTGAGCCCACGGGTTCGAGACCAGCCCGGGCAACTTGGCGAGACCTTGTCTTTACAATAAATAAATAAAATTAACTGGATGTGGTAGCATGTGCCTGTCGTTCTGGCTATTTGGAAGGCTGAAGCAGAAGGATCGTCGGAGCCCGGCAGGCTGATGCTGGGGTGGCCGTGGGCATGCCATTGCACTGCAGCCTGGGCATTGGAGTGAGATTCCAACTCAAAAAAAGAGTATGAATTGTGGTCTCAGATTGTGCTAGATTTTTCCACTCTTCTTTTCTCATGGAGATAATGCTGGGCATGGTACTAGAGCCATTTAGGGTCCGAAAAAGTCTGAAAGTGATAGTTAATCCCACATTAGGAGGTCTCTGTGGCCTCAACCTCTGGCTGCTGCTTCTTCAAGTGATAAAGACAGAATTGAGGGGACGTTATTGAGTACTAGGAGTCTAGTGAGTACCTCCACTGGGTAGAGGAGTGACCCTGGGTCTGTTCACCCTTAACATTGTTTTCCTCTCTCCCCTTTTAGTTATTTCAGGAAGCCTCTGAATATCTACTTTGGCTTTATTCCTGAAATCATCTTCATGACTTCTTTATTTGGCTACTTGGTCATCCTTATTTTTTACAAGTGGACTGCCTATGATGCACATACCTCGGAGAATGCGCCAAGCCTTCTGATCCACTTCATAAACATGTTCCTCTTCTCCTACCCAGAGAGTGGTAATTCCATGCTGTATTCCGGGCAGGTACGTTAACCCAGGGTGGACCATCTGAGGCAGTTGCCCAACGTCAGGGGTCAGATGTTTCTCTGACTCCAGAACAGCCTAAAAGAAACTTTCTGTAGTATTTGATTTTTTAGCCTATACATCAGAGCTAAATTCAGACCATCCTCTTTAGTTTGGGAGGCTCCAGGAAGAGTACTGCCATTTTATGGGACTGTTCTAGGGCTTTGCTACAACATCTAATTATTCTGAGAAACTGGATAGTGTTATTAATAGGTAGGTAAGAAAGTACTGGCCAAGTGCAAGGGGTTCATGCCTGTAATCTCAGCACTTGGGAGGCCGAGGCAGGATGATTGTTTGAGGCCAGGAGTTTGAGACCAGGCTGGTGTAGCAAGACCCCTTCTCTACAAAAATTAGCTGGGTGTGGTGGCCCATGCCTATAGTTCCAGCTACTTGGGAGGCTGAGACAGAATGATCACCTGAGCACAGGAGTCTGAGGCTGCGGTGAACATAATCACGACACTGCACTCCAACCTGGGTGACAGAGTGAAACTCAACTGAAAGAAAAAAAAAATTCTGTTTTGGGGGATATTTGTACTGGAATTGAAAGCTGCATATTTAATCGGTGGCCTTTCATGTGATGTGCCTTGTCCTTCTTGCTTTGCAGAAAGGAATTCAGTGTTTCCTGGTGGTGGTTGCGTTACTTTGTGTACCTTGGATGCTGCTGTTTAAGCCACTGGTCCTTCGCCATCAGTACTTGAGGAGGAAGCATTTGGTTGGTGCATTTCTATTGTTGAAAGTTACTAGGTTTTTTTTCCCCCCCAAGATCAAGGCAATTCCCCAGTGGATATAATTAATTGTGCACAAATCTGCATATTCTTAAAATGTATTTGTGTTATATCCCAGCATGAGCACTGGGCCTGTTGAAGTCAGAGAAACTTGTGTTTGCTGCTCAGACATCTGGATTCAGCTTGAGCAGCTGGGGTGGAGGAAACAGTCCTGGTCATGCTCTGTTCTTGCTGTGCTCAGTAAAGTCCAGGCCTGGGCCTGTCTCAATACAGTGTCAGCCAAAGCCAGGCTGCAAGAGCTGCAGACAGGCGAACCTCTCATGCGGTCTGCCTGGGTGACCACAGCACTGATGCTGAGACGTCTTCTTTTAAAATGAGACCGTGATGCTTTCACCCATCAAAACATCTGGGGAAAAGGTTTGGTTTAGAGCACATTGATTTTTTAAAAAGCAGCATACATACATGTGCTTACTTAATGTACATGTGTGTATGAATTCTACACGCAAAGTGAAATTTGCCAAATATCCAGTATTGTGCATAATTTCTGGCTATCCAGTGGTGCTTACTTATCACGCTGCCTGAAAAGCCCCAACAATCTTGTTGCATGACTCTTGTAGGCTGCTAGGTGATTCCTCTTGTTGGAGAGCAGCTGAGTTACAAGACCCTCCTTCTCCCTTTTCTGACCATCTTCATCCTTCCATGTACCCTCCATTCATCTCCCCTTCACTCCCTCCCTCTTTTGTTTTCTTCCCCTTCCTCTTTTCTTCCATTCACTATCAGGAAGGGCAACCCGTGGAGGTCCCAGTCAGCCCAACCCCGAGCCAACAGGGACTAGAGGCAGCAGCGGCTGCAACAGTGAGTGAATCAAAACCAACAACCATCACATTGCATTTCAAGAGGTGGCAAACAGTGCAGCAGAACTCTTTTTAACTACATCGAGAGCATAAGACATGTGTGCTCTTGGGAAGTATGTCCTTGTTGCTCACTGAGACAATGACAGAAGAGATTACCCCCTCTTAAGAATAGATTCTGGTACCATCTTTACCATTGGTCTACTAAGTTTCTATTCAGATATGTAAGTTCAGGCATGTCCATGGGAACAAAGTGACTGTTGGACCATTTCTAAGTCCCATCATCTTAATCCAAGGTGGCAGCTCTTGGGCTTGTCCACTTTCATGACTTTTTGACTTCATATTTTGTGGCCCTGTATTAGATGCTTTTTCAGCAGGGAGGCGAGACTATCTCTGTGATTCTTGAATTGATTTCCCTGCTCTTCAGAGCTCTGCTTTAGATGATGCTTGGACGTTTTTTAGCAGTGGCCTACCCTCTTTAAAAATGAAAGTTTATACATTTTACTTTTTTATGAGAGATTCAGAAGCCCTCGTGTCCTTAGCTGTTCCAGTGAGACCTACTCTCCCGTGTGTCTTGTGTATACTGTACATCTGGCGTAATAACCAAGTCATCTCCTATCGTGATCCTTCCCTCTTCTGGTACTAACTCATGATTCAGGAACAGTACTTTCTGTGTTAAGCATCTGAATATTTGTCCTTAAAAACATCTTTTGCTTAAATCTTATAATGCACTAATACCATAGTAGCCCAATATATTCTAGATTATGAATCAATATTTCTGAAACCTCATCAGTAGTGATTACTTGTGTACTTCTGTGTTCTAGTGGCATGTACTCCTTGAAAGAAAATGAAAGATTTAGATGGATAACGATTTCCTTCGTTAGGTGTTTCTGATCATTTTAATCCTGGAAAACTGCTTATAGTCATCCTTTGAGAACTCAAAAGGGCAGATATTTTGAGTCAGCAAATTTTAATCTCACTGCTTAAAATTATTTTCAAGTTAAGCCTTCCCTATGAGAAATAAAAAAGCCCCTAGAACATCTGCTACCCGCTATGATGTTCTTTCCAAATACTCTTCTTCCTGCTAGTTGTAGTGTATGTCAGAGTGCTTCTGAGAAGATCTTGATGGTTTTAGATCTGGCAGCTTCTGTGATAAAGCCCAGGTTAAAAGCCCCAGGATGAATGCCTGCACTTGCCAAGAGTCTTCTTCTCCCACTGGTTCTTTGGCCAGCTTCAGTTTCTGAAGAGCAACTGCAGGTATTAGGATGCTGATTCTGTAAGAAGGGCCCTGGGTTCTTGACCCCAGGGGGCTGAGGATGTGAACACTGCTCTGATTCTGTTCTGTTCTTTGTCCTCTTGTTCGTCTGTGAGCAGTTCATCACAGTTTACTTTTCTGTTCTTCTTTTCTGCTGATGTGTGTCTCTCCCCCACTTCCTGTAACTCTTGCTCCCTGTGTTCTGAGGGGTACGTGTTAGTGTCTGGCTGGGAGACCTCACTTCTCTGCCCCCAGTTCATCTGCTGGTTGAGGAGAGCTTTGGAAATGATCTTCTGCCGGGGGAGCCAACAACCCTGCCACCTTTCCACCTTGTCCTGTAACCACCCAGGATGCACTGGAGTCCCTTCCGCGCCCTGGTTGTACTTTCCATCACCTTTAGAGGGTTGTCAGGTGTCATATGTACATGGCCCAGAGGTGCCCAGGCTTCAATGTTTCCAGATCTGCCTGTACATCAGAATCACCTGGTGAACACTGAATTTGTTTCTTAGGGCATTAAGACACAGTAGATAAGTGGAAGAAGATGTAAAAGGTACCCAGATAGTTCCCTACTTACATTTAAAACATAAAGCACAAGGCCAGGTGTGGTGGCTCATGCCTATAATCCTAGCACTTTGGGAGGCCGAGGTGAGAGGATTGCCTGAGCCCATGGATTCAAGACTAGCCTGGGCACCTTGGCGAGACCTCATCTCTACAATAAATTTTAAAAAGTAGCTGTACATGGTGGCACGTGCTTGTAGTTCCAGCTACTTGGAAGGCTAAAGCGGAAGGAACACCTGAGCCCAGCAGGTCGAGGCTATGGTAGCCATGAGGGTGCCACTGCACCCCAGCCTGGGTGATGGAGTGAGACTCCAACTCTAAATAAATAGATAAATAAAACACTAGGTACACTTGGCTAGAGGATGCATGTAGTACTAGCTGAGAAGAAAACCTCCTGTCTGCTCCCACCCCTACCACCACAGTTCTCCTCTGGGGTATTGTTAACAGTTCAGGAACTTGACTTTACTACATAGCTGCCTATCATCTTTTTTTTTTCTTAGAGACACAGTCTTGCTCTGTTGCCCACGCTGCATGATCTTTCTTCACTGCAGCCTTGAACTGAGATCAAGTGATCCTCCTGCCTCTACCTCCTGAGTATCTGGGACTGTGGTGCACACCACCATGTATGGCTAATTTTTAATTTTTTTTGTAGAGGCAGGGTCTTGCTATGTTGCCCATGCTGGTCTTGAACTCCTGGCTTCAAGCAATCCTCCTGCCTCAGCTTCCTAAAGTGCTGGGATTACAGGCATGAGCCACTATGCCCAGCCCCTGTCATCTGTTGATACCTGTGTATGTGCAATAAATGTGTAAAGAAACACATTAGGAATTGTATTTTAAACTGTAGCCCTCACCTGGTGTGGTGGCTCACTCCTGTAATCCCAGTACTTTGGGAGGCAGAGGCGAGAGATTGTTTGAGATCAGGGGTTTGATACCAGCCTGAGCAACATGGTAAGACCTCATCTCTACAATAAACTTTTAAAAATCAGCCAATTGTGGTAGCATATGTCTGTGGTTCCAGCTACTTGGAAGGCTGAGGAGGAAGGATCGCCTGAGCCCTGCAGGTTGAGCTGTGGTGGCTGTGAGCATGCCACTGTACTCCAGCCTAGGAGTCAGAGTCTCACTCTGACTCCAAACAAACAAACAAACAAACAAACAAATAAAAACTGTAGCACCCTTATAGGTATAGTCACTCTTTTTTATGGTAGCCTAGCATTCCATAGAATATTTTGTTGGATATGCCAAAATCATGTAATCTCTCTCTCTTTGATAGATGCGTTGCTTGTTCCCCATTCTTTGCTCCTACAAACAGCAGTACAGGGAACATCCTTGTCTGTATATGGCAAAGTTCTATAAGCATTAGATGTCCCAGTAGTGGAATGACTGAATCTCAGAGGGTTCCTGGGTTTTAAATTTTGATAGACCCAGCCGGGCTCGGTGGCTCAGCCTGTAATCCCGTGCCTTGAGAGGCTGAGGTGAGTGGATTGCCTGAGCCCGCGGGTTCGAGACCCGCCTGGGCAGCTTGGTGAGACCTCATCTCTACAATAAATCAAAAAATTAGCCAGGCGTGGTAGCGCGCTCCTGTAATTCTGGCTACTTGGAAGACTGAGGCGGAAGGATCACCGGAGCCCAGCAGGTCGAGGCTGCGGTGGCCGGGAGCGGCCACTGCACTCCAGTCTGGGCGACAGAGACTCCAACTCAAAAAAAAAATTTTTTTTGATAGATCCTTTGCAATGATTATACAATTTGCCCTTGGGGAAATATCTTTTAAATACAGATTTCCTGGGCTCTACCCCCAGACCTACTAAATTTACAATTTCTGGGAATAGTATATGAAAATCTCTATGTAAAATGAAGCTTTTAGGCCAGTCACGGTGGCTTGTGCCTATAATTCCAGCACTTTGGGAGGCAAAGGTGAGAGGATTGCCTGAATCCAAGGGTTTGAGACCAGCCTGGACAACTTGGTGAGGCCTCATCTCTACAATAAATCAAAAAGTTAGCTGGGCATGGTGGTGCATACCTGTAGTTCCAGCTACTTGGAAGGCTGAGGCAGAAGGATCGCCTGGACCCAGCAGGTCGAGGCTGCGGTGGCCGTGAGCATGCCACTGCACTCCAGCCTTGGCAGCAGAGTGAGAGGCCCACTCAAAAAGAAAAATTCAGCTTTTGAGGTGATTCTAGTGAAGCTGGTTCTCTGACCAATATGTGAGAACCACTGCAGGGCAGAAGAGAGGATTTGTGCAGATGCTGGAGACCTGAGCTGGTCCCTGAGCTGTGGTGAGTGAAGCTGTGTCAAGAGGTACAGGCCAGAAGGGGAGACTGAGGAGGCTGGGGACTGTGGGCAGGCAAGCAGACTCTGCACGCTGTGCTGCTGCCACAAAGCCATTTTGCAGGAGAGTCGACCTCAAACTCTTGCCTTGCTTGGCTCTGTGAAGTGGCTCCCAAGGCTGTTTCTTAAATTCCTTTTCACACTGTGACAGTGAAAGGTTTTCCAAGTCAAGTTGATTGAAAAAGTCTGCCTATGGAGACCCCAATGGAGATTATACTGGTGAAGTCAGAGAGGCAAGCACCCAGGCAGCGTCTGCCCACATGCCCATAGAAGAATTCTTTTAACACTCCAGAACCCTCCGCTGAGGGGAAGGAGCCCCTCCCCACTTTTTATCAGCTCAGTCTTCCCTAGCCACAAGTGAATGTGCATTAAGTCTGATTTCCTTCCCTGGTCTAGGAAGTCCTTTGTTCTGGGCAGAGACCCGGTACATTTCTGGGAGAGGTTGCTGGAATTCTTGGGTCCCTGTTGAAAACTTATCAGACCAGGGCACAGCCACCGTATCATTTGACACCACTCCCTCTTAGAGAGTCTAATCTTTCTTTCCAGAAAGGCTTAGGCCCTTGCAGGCTTTACAGATAGAACTGTGCATGTTATGAGAGTTGCTTGTTTTGAGGTTTTGTTCAGGCAGGATCCTCCATCAGCGTCCACCAGGCGAGGCTGGTACCTGGGTGCAACAGGCAGAGCTGCGTGCTTCCCAGGAAGCAGGGGGAGGTGGGCATTGCAGGGTGGGCTGGGCCGGGCAGTGGTGGCTGGGTGGGAACACTTGTTTGCTTTGACTTAGCTGCCCGGTCCATGGGTTTTGTTTTTGTTGTTAGAATATATGCTTTTCTGAGGTTTGTATGTACTAACCATCCCCTTCCCACCTCACAGAATCCACGCTAAAGACAGGCAAATTCTACTCTTTCTGTTCATCTGTGTAGGGAACTCTCAACTTTGGTGGGATCAGGGTGGGCAACGGACCGACAGAGGAGGATGCTGAGATTATTCAGCATGACCAGCTCTCCACCCATTCTGAGGACGCAGAAGAGGTAAGATCCAGTGGTGTGGGCTTCCTCTCCTTCAGCCTCACTCCAGTCTTCTCCTTGGAACGTAAGAGTACTAACCCCTAATCAGCCTGCCTCTGCCCTCTTAGGGCACCACAGCTTTCCCCGTGGACCCTGCCTAACCCCAGTGTTGCACACAGAGCTGCAAGCAGTTTCACTCTGCTCAGAAGTTCGCTGTGGCCTGCAGCACTCTGCATGCAGATCTCAGCGACTCACTCCTATCCTCGCTGAGGCAGAGCACCCACATCTCAGCTCTTACGCCCCAAAATGCAGATCACTAGGGACAGCTGCTTCATCCCTTGGTCCTTCCAAGAATCATTCTGTGACATCACTGCCCACCTGTCATCACTTTGGAAATCCCATCCCAAGATGTGTTCTTATTGAGGAGATTTTGTTTGAGCCGATTTTATGTTATTTGCCTACTTTTTATAAAGAAGTGAAAAGTAGCCAGACCAGGCTAGACTTTTCCTTAAGACACCAGTTCCAAGTCCAGTTTTAAAAAATATCTACTCTCCTTATCTGAACAGTTGGAGCACAAAACCTCTGGACTGAGCTGTTGAATCTCATCTAGTCATGATGTTTCTTTTAAAGCAAATAGGACTTTAGGACCCAGGTTGGACTTTTTAGTCTGTCTGACCACTTTCACTATTTACATGACCTTTTAAAAAGAAATCTCAAGGGCTGGGTACCTTTAAAAAATATGTCTCTTAATGCTCTAATTCCCGCTGATTTTGCATTCATGTGTGCTGAGGAGGTCTGCCTCCACACGCAACTTCCATCACCACTAACAGACTCCCTAGCAAGCGTTCCGTAGCCTTGTGCTTCTAACTTGTGACCTTGTGTGTGGCGTGGCTTTCCACTAAGTGTTGATTTGTGTTTTCAAGCCTGCCGAGGACGAAGTGGTAAGACAAAAGCCTCTGTGCCTTCATGTTTCTCTGGGACCTCTCTCTTCCCATCCTTGTGATCACTCTCCTGACCCTGCCGCACGCTGGGGCCATACACATGACCCGCTCATCTGCATCTCACTGGCCATTTCTGATCCGTTCGTGAACCTGTGTCCTAAGAAAGCTCATCTCCATTAACCGCATCTCATGTCCGTCCCCTCTGTCTTTATCTCATTGACTTTGCTGATCTGACACTCTGAGAATGGCTTTGAAGGGGCTCCAAGTTAGGTCTGCCCTGGCATTCTCGAAGTGACCCCTTTGGGGGCCACATCCCACTGGGCTCTGCCTTGCTCTCCTGTGATGTTGTGGTTGCTCTGCTTCCAACCGCCTGGGGTGGCCGTCTCCTCGCTCCTCTGGGTGTCCATGAGCAAAACTTGCCCTCCTCCCTGTCTGAGATGCAGCCAGCGTCTTCCTGCTGCCCTCACCTGCTTGCTCAGGGTCAGCTCTGCCACTGCGTGGCCCAGGTGAGAGGTAGACAGCTTTCAAGTGAAGCTTCGCCTCAGGTGTATCCCAGCAGAAAGTCCATCTGCGTGAGAGGAGCTAATGTTATGTCAGCAGTAGAGAAGAGCGGGGCATGAAGAAGGTTCGTGAACATGCCGGCCCCACCTAGAGCAGGCCTAGTTCTAGCCCAGTAGTAACTCGGGTAGCCACATACACGTTTTGAGTTAGGTTTTAAAAGGCCTCACTGCACTGTTTTCATCTTCCCCAAACTTCTCTCTCAAATCCTGAGATGTGTGAACTATATACCCTTCCTGTGCCTGCCTCTCCTGGTCCCCTCTAGGCAGTGGGATAGGGCTGGGACAACCTTTGCTGTCTGTGGAGAGCAGGCAGTGCCTGGCCGTCCTGAAGTTTAGAAGGGCTCTCTGCTCTTGGGCTGCTTGTCTGCACGCTCCCTGGCTGAGCTGCCTGGTGGGGCTGGGGGTGTGCCCCATGCTGGTGCAGAGTCTACCCTCCCAGGGCCACCGCCTCCAGCAGCACTGCCTTCTGAATGTCCTCCAGCCAAACGCCAATGCCATGGTCATGCCTGAATGACCCAACCAGCCGTTGTGCACCAGTGTCCTCATTTGTAGCCAGACTTGAAGTCAAACAAGACAGACTCCAGTTCCTCCTCTGAACCTCTGGTCACTCAGCTCACTCAGCTCACTCGAGTTCAGCTGCCCTTGGTCTCCTACCCAGCCCTAGCACTATCAGGCACATAAGCAGTCTGCTTCTCTACAGCCAGACTAAGAGATAACCATGACAGTTACCTAAAGATTTCAAACTAAACCGGCTTTTGTTTTTTTGAGTTGGGGTCTCACTCTGTCACCCAGGCTGGAGAGCAGTGACATAGTCACAACTCACGATAGCCTCGACCTCCTGGGCTCACGTGATCCTCCCACTTCAGTCTCCTGAGTAGTTGGGACTACAAGCTCACGCCACCATGCCCGGCTAATTTTTTGATTTGTTGTAGACACAGGGGTCTCATTGTGTTGCCCAGGTTGATCCTAAATTCCTGGGCTCAAGCAATCCTCCTACCTCGGCCTTCCAAAGTGCTGGGATTCTAGGAGTGAGCCACTGTGGATGACCAAAACAGACTCACTCAGTTGCCCAGGCTGGAGTACAGTGGCACACTCATGGCCACCCCAGTGTCGACCTGCTGGGCTCCAGTGATCCTTCCACCTCAACCTTCCAAGCAGCTAGGACTACAGGTGCACGCTACCACACCCAGCTAATTATTGTAGAGACGAAGGCTCACCAAGTTACCTGGGCTGGTCTCGAACATGCAGTCTCAGGCAGTCCACTCGCCTTGGCCTCCCAAAGTGCTGGGATTACAGGCTGAGCCACCAAACCCGACCCCAAACAGGCTCTTTAAAAAAAGCTCAGGC